TTAAGGCTCTTTACAGACGTTTTTGCAGAGACTATCATAATGTATCACATGTGCACATTGAGTTAAAAACAGCACTGGTTTTAGCGTTACTAGCGTTCTAAGCGAGATCTATACGACGCCCCCGTTTTATAGCCTTTTGTTTTATACAGGAAGATACATGGCTAGTGTGTTAGGCGCAGACTCATTAGTGTTCACCTAATCTAACATGAGACCAGATTCCAAAATCAAATCATTTCATTTTATTGTATCAAATTGTGTTTGAGAAAAGTTTGATTACTAAGAGTTTCTATTAGTTAACTATGTATGGAAAAGTTTGATAATAGCATTGGTAGTTATTTTTGAGTCTATCATTTATTAAAAAAAAATTGTTATAGGCTTTGTCTTGTGCGTCGGCAGTCTATGGTCTAGGTAATTCTCTAAGCAGAGGGGATTTCAGTTGCCACCTAGCGACTTGTATGGTCTTAGATATATGTCTATAATGACTGTAGTGTATGTGAGTGTGTGGCAAGCTTTAGCTGCGGTCTAGGCCGGGCGCTGCCCCGCTAACTGGGCCCAAGGCGACGCGACACATACTCCTGTACTTCAAGTATCAGACACTTGGTTTACGCATTATACGCTATTTATCTACCATTATTGTTATAACATTAAATCCAGAAGATAAACATATAACTGAAGATTTTATGTTACTATATTTCATTTTACTTTTTATTTAAAGTGCGTAAAGAATGCAAAATAGTTTGACATTGTAAGGAGCAGCTGTCCTTCATAGAGATTCCAATATTGGAACACAGCATAAAAACGAAACCAATAAGTCCATAATACTGGTAGCTGCTTCTTCTAGATCTAGCCTAGACCATCAGCTGGCGACGCTCGTAATAACTGACCATGTTTTCAAAGTAGCGATAATGGTAACTGCAACAATTTTTGCATTGAAATAGGGTACTTAAAAAAAGTATTGGTAATGGGATAAAAACAAAATGTATAAACGCATATAATGCACGTAAACGTTGAGAGAATCTAGAACTTTCGTTTGTTTACGATAAAACAGAGTATAACAAGCATAGGGGCGCTGGCGTCGCAATCCGCCGCATCTCGTGTGACATAACACACACATTTAACTCCGTACTCCGCTCTTTAGAACTGAGACGGACGTGTGCGATGTGCGCCCGCGCAGTGAAAACGGGGTCATGGTGCACACACACATGCATACATGCTGCGCGTGACGCACATTGCGTGTACGGATTGCGGATATACAAAAATTAAGAATCAAATTCGCCAAAGATTCCCATAGACTTATATGTACTGTTGTAAAAAAATGGTTTATTTCCTTACAAGAGATTACAAGGTGCTCAGATATGTGTAAATAAGAAGTCCAAAAATAAATATGAATAAGATAAAAAAAGTTATTTTTTATGTCTCGTTACAGTCTTATTAAAATTTGTCGATTCTGTGTCGCGATAAATATGAGAATTGAAAGCGTTTTATCAAACGACGAGGTCAAGGGAATGGAGGAATTGGATTCAATTACCGGGTACAGTACAGTACAGATAGCCGCTGCACAATCAATTTTATTGCTCACGGCGCGGCGCGAGGCATCGCAGATATCTTGCGGTAGGTCAGTTAACTACGCTATTCCGATACACGTATTGTTCAGTGACATCTAGCGACAAGCGGCGGAAATAGAACATTTCCTTGAAAGGAAAAATAGTTTTGTAATTCTAATAATTAGTTTATATCCTTTGGGATAAACCAAATGTAGTTAATACAAATAAATACAATTAAATTACAATTATTATAGTCATATAATGGTTCGCTTCATCAATTTTGTCGGATTGGAATATCCTTTCCAAATTACTCAGAACCATAAATGGATACAGCGCGCCCTTGACTTACATAAATCGGTAAAAATATGTAAAACACATCTTGGAACTATGACAAGTAGAGTAACGTTATTGGAATAGTTTCTATCCATTTTATAGGTTTACAAATAGTATAGTAAACAGGCATTTTTCTTACATCACTTTGGTACTATGAAAGGGGACATTTTTGTACCACTTATTCTAATTATACATGTATTCGCGTAAATATTTTATTAAAATAATTTAAATGAACATTATTAAAACACCAACAAAACACTCTTGTACCAAAAATATCTTACGAACATGCGAATTCGATATAAAAAAGCGCGCAAAATGAGGAAAAGGACGCGTGATTCAGAGGCCGGGGTGCGCGGGGTTTGGGGTAGATGGTGGGGAGAGCAGACATTCGCAAATGAAACGCTTACGAAATGTGTTGTTTTTATAAAACCCGCGCGAGCTTCACTGCGACACGTGATGTCATAAGTATTATTGGTAACAAATATCGATATTTAAAAAAATCCACTTTACCTTCTCATCTTTTCCTTATAAGAAAATTTTGATAAGGGAAAGGGACTAAAACTAGGTCCCGACATACTTATCAGACTACTTTACCACTGTTATTACGTTCTTTTCTACCCCTTTGGTTACCGAACTATTGTTAGTTTCATCGACTTCAAATCGGTCTAGGAATAAATTGTCATTACAAGTAGTAACCTCAACCTGCACAAATTTAATGTCAAATCATCGAATTCTATTTACCAGCTACTCATTAATTGACGACTGAATTTCTTAAAGTTTTCCGTAATATAATGTGTAAGTCTGACGTGAATCGCGGGACGTCACGTCACGTCACGTCACGCGCTAATTGTGTCAGTCTGCCACCACCGGACACCTTGACCCGCTGCGCCATATAGATTTCTATGTTATTTCAGCATTACTAAGAACTCGGATGTTAAGGAAACATCGCCATAAGTAATGTTTTGATTTTCCCTTTGACCTAAATAAATATATGATAAACTTTTTAAACAATTACGACCAAATATTTTTTCTAGTATACTTTTTGTTACTTTTTACTGCAATTTTAAGCAACGGTATATTTTACAAAAAAAGCACTTTGCAGCAAAAGTCAATAAGAGCTGTCATTTTTTGTCTGAATTCCCAAAAGTGCTGCCGCTAGCGGTGAGATAAAACGAAATTAGTACTACTTCAGAATTAGCTTCTAACTTTTTTTAAAATAACTTCCCGGTAGAGTCACATAATCTACTATTCAAATAATTTACGTATTCAGAAGTGAACATTATTATAAGAAATTTATTTATCTATATTATAAAGAGGAAAGGATTTGTTATTATGTATATTTTGCAAAACCTAAAAAATTACTGGGCCGATTTTAAAAATTCTTTCACCGTTAGAAAGGAAATTTATCTGTAGGTAACATAGGTTATATTTTTTAATTTCTCGCAGGCGAAGTCTCAAGCAACAGCTAGTCTTCTATCGAAGCAAAATAACTTCTTTCTAAATTCGCGACAATAAATTTTGATTAACTGCATCTTCCACGATCGTTTGATTCAGTTTGTACAATTTTGATCAAATAAAATGGACATTTAAAGACATTTAATTCCAGGAAATTGAAGCAGAAATGTAAATTTGTTCAGTATTTATAACCCAACAGTTTGTTTAGTCACAGTGACCTACATTATTATGTATATTGTTTCCATTGAATTGACCGATACCAGTTTCCCGAAATTAAAACATACCCAAGTTCACTTTAATAGTTATCTATACTAATATTATAAAGAGGAAAGATTTGTATTTTTGTATATATTCGATTCACGAAAATACTACAAGGCCGTTTTTAAAAATTCTTTCACCATTACAAACGTAATTTATCTGTTAGTAACAAAGCTTGCATTTCTTTTTTCATTCCAAGTCGCGAGAAACAGCCAGTCATAAATAAAACAATATACTTTATGAATAATTATTTCACATATCCCTTCCCTTCCCTTCAATCAACACACGCGATTTAAAGTTTATAATTTTACAAAAAATCTAAGTATTGAAAAAAATAGAATCGTCTCTAAGCACTCTAGAATAATTATCAAGCAGTAATTCCTAAAACTGCTGCTGTTAAGTACAATATTAATGCCAATATTAAAACGTATTAAATTATGAATCTCGATAGAAATTTGCCATAATAATATTCTAGCAAAGGAAAGTCTGCGAAGGCTTCGACGCGAGGCTTTCACTTCCGACGGCGGTGGTCAGGTTACGTGAAGTATGCACCGCAACTATGCGAAAATTTTATAATGATAAAACTACTACATAATTAAAAATGTGGGTGAAGATACCGCTGTGATAAAGAGTGACTTTCCGTAGTACGTGTCAGTAGAAGTAGTAATGTATAGAATAAGCATGGTGGAATATGCATTAAAAAACCTATATGTGCATAACAACACACTTTTTTCCGAGAGTTTATGAAAATTGATGAGTTATACATAAAGGATGTTCTCTGTTTACTTATGCATTAAACAATATCAATTAGCGAATAAAACGCAAATAACGCGCTTTGTACAAAAGACATAATAAAAGTGTAGTCTGACGGAGCAATGTACAATGCTTTAAATGTTCCACCAAAGTGTACAATAGTTATTGATTGCTCGCAAATTTAAATATGAATAAATTGTGTTGAGAGCAACATATTGTGAATATCTAATAAATAGTAATAGCTGAAAGTTATAACAGACTCGGTAAAACAGCGATTAGGTCTCGTAAGATTATCATTAGGCATCAACAAAACTTTCTCGCGGTAAAAGCGGCGGATCGCGAAAGGAAAATCGTCGGTACTTCCTCGAGCGGAAACTAAAAGTGGATTGTAATCGCGAGAGAAAACTGCATTGGCTGCCCGGTGCAACGAAGAAATTGCAATGCATTAACTTTACGACTCCCAGCGACATCTATCTATCAATATTGAAACTAGAAAAATAGTCCGAGTTTTGAGCGACATCTAGCGAGCATTTTCTTTATTAATCTGCTAAATTAAATGTCAAAACCTATGCTATCAGTTAATAGATGGCGCTGTTATACATGAATATTAAATAATAGTGAATGAAAAGCGAAAGCACAGACTTTATTAAAACTTACCTTTACCTCCACCAGCATCATGCACCTGCGGCTTCCCACTCGGCACTCGCTGCATCGGCGAAGCGTTTCCATAACTCATTCCCGTTCCGTTGTAATCCGTGCTCATGGGTTCTTGCTTTATGCCGCTAGATGTCGCGGCAAGTTTCTCCGCGAGAAGAGGATTCGCGGATGCAATGTTGTAGCGACCATTGCTTATATTATTCGCCACGGCATTGTTGATGGCGCTAGTTCCGGACCGCAGCAACTGTTGTAGCCGCTGCTGTCCGTTGTGGGGCGCGGCAATCTGACTTTGTTGGTAGTACTGCCCTTGTATTTGACTCCCCGACGCCGGCGATATATTGTTGTTTTCCTCTTGCTGAAAAATGTACACAAAACTACGTTTAAGCTTGGTAAATAAATTAAAATAAAATCTTTTATATGTTTTTAATAATTCAGCTAATTGCTGGTAACGATTCAAGATAACGTTTGTATTTTACATCAAGCGAAGGAACTATTTTTAATTTTCCCTTTTGATTTTTGCTAATGCAAGAAAGCTTACAAACCTTAATTTCAATGGGCGGCACGGGCGTCGCGGTGGAGTTGGTGAGGTCGGTAAAGAATGTGTCGAAGTTGTCGAAGGCGGTTTCGCCGAGCTGCTTGAGGATATCGTCGGGGTCGTCGCCGTCGGGCTCGGCGAGTCCCACGATGTTGCTGAGCTCGGCCTGCGACAGCTC